GCTTCAGGCTCTGAGCTGTCAGCACAACGCCCGACGCGGGACTCGAACTCACGAGCTGTGAGATCATGACCTGAGCCGAAGTTGGACATCCAACCAACAGAGCCACCCAGGTGCCCCTAAAATTTTTTTTAATGTTTACTTTTGAAGGAGAGACAGAACACGAGTGGGGAGGGGCAGAGAGAAAGGGAGACACAGAATCCCAAGCAAGCTCCAGGCTCTGAGCCGTCAGCACAGAGCCCCCAGTGTGGGGCTCAAAACCACAAACCGTGAGATCATGACCTGAGCCGAAGTCAGACGCCCAGCCGACTGAGCCACCCAGGCACCCCAGGGGGATGTTTATAGAGCACCCCACCTGGAAAGAACTGAATACATACACTTTGTGTAGAGGTGGACACAACACGCACTACTGGTGACCTTATCTGGGGCCATAGAACAAGGCCACCAAATGCAAAAGGATGAAAGTGATACAAGATACGTTGTGTAACCGCGTGGACTCAAGTTAGAAATCAATAGCAGAGGGATCTCCAGAAAATCCCCAAATCTCAAGAAACCAAAAACACACTCATAGGCAACCCACTGATCCCAGAAGAAATCAGTAGATAAGCGAGTGGTTTTCCCAGTGTGAAAGTGACGGTATAGCACTTCCAACACTAAGGGGCCGCCAGAGCCCTCGTCAGGCAGATTTACAGTGCTGAGTGACCAGGCTTCAAGTCAGTGACCTCAGCTTCCTCCTCAGAAAACTAGAAAAATAAGAACAAATAAAATGCAAACTAAGCAAAAGAGAGAAAATGATAAACATTGGTACAGGAATCAGTGGAATAGGAAACAGAAGAACGGTAGAGGAATCAGTGAACCCAAAAGCTGGTTCTCAGAGAAGATCAATAAAATTGATAAACTTCAAAGACTGATGGGGGAAAAGCGTGAAGACACAGGTCACCAGAATCCGGGAGGAGATAGGTGACGTCACTGCGGGCTGCGGATTTTGAAGAAGATTGAGGAAGAGTCCTGGGGGACCCTTGACGTTTGACGTGTCAGCTGGCCTGGGGCCCAGGGTGTTTGATACCTAGTTCAGTCGTGTTTCTGGGTAGGATTGATGGTGGGTGGGGGCCGGGGGGGTAATCCCTCCTGGGAGACCTGAATGGAGCAGGCAGGCCCGGAGGGACACCCCCTGCTCTACTGCCTCTAGTGGGAACATCGTCCTGTCCTGCCTTTGGACTCGGACCATCAGTTCTGTGTCTCCAGCGTGCCAGGGGCACACCCCGGACTTCTCAGCCTCTGTCAACACATGAGCCAGTTTCTTCTAAGAAATCTCTTTTTAGCTTATGCATGTATGTCCTGTTGATTGTTTCTCTAGAGAACTCAGAGAGAGAGAACTCATATGCATATGTATGGGTGTGTATATGGAAGAGACCAGGAGAATGGTTCATCCCAGGAATGAGAAGCCGGTTTAACATTCCAAAGTCAGTCCGTGATATTCATCATGTTAACAACCCAAAAAGGAAAAACCATCATCTCCATAGATACAGAAAAGGCATCTGACAAAACCCAACATCCATTCCTGATCAAAAGGCTTAGCAAACTAGAAATGGAAGGGAACTTCCTTTACCTACAAAAAACCCACACAGTGAGAGACCAAATGCACTTTTCCCATGAGGATCAAGACATGTCCACTCCTGCCACTAACATTCGACACTACAGGAGGTCGTAGACCAGCACTGCAGCAAGAAAAATAAAAGGCACCCGTATTGTGTGTAAAATCTGATGGACTCTGAAAAGAAGCTAGTGGAATTAGTAAGTGGGTAGCAAACTTGCAAGATACAAGGCCAGTATACAAAAATAAATTGTGTGTGTGTGTGTGTGTGTACACACACACACACACACTAGCATTAAATACCCAGAATCAAATTTTTAATACTATATAAGGTAGCATCCAAATGTTCTTAAACATTGGAGGTAAATGTGACAGAAGATGTGCAAGACTGTACCCCTGGAGTCCCCACAACACTGATGAGAGAAACTGTTCATGTATCAGAAACCCAAACCGGCCTCCAGACTCTGTGCCAGTCAGGTCCAAATCTCACCAGACATTTTTGTGGAAACCGACAAGCCAACTCCAAAGTCTGTATGGAAATGCACAAGGCCTAGAATTTTCAGAACAACTTTGGAAAAGAACACAAACTCGGAGAACTCACCCTGCCTGATCTGGAGATTTGTTGCAAAGTTACAACAATCAATACAGTGTGCCACTGGCATCAAGACAAACAAATGTATCCGTGGAACGGAATGGAATGCCTGGAAATAGACCGGGAATTTGGACAATTGACTGAATAGACGTGCAAAGGTGGTCAAAGTGGGGAAAGGATAACCTTTAACAAAAGGTGCCATGACAGTCGTGTCTGTGTACAGAGGTATGATACGTCACAGCCTGCACAAAGATTAACTCAACAGATCGTAGCCCTAAATATAAAGCCTGAAACCATAAAATTTCTAGAAAAGCACGTGATAGAAAATCTTAATATATTTAGGTAAGATAAAGAGTTTTTAGATAAGATGCTAAGAATGTGATCCATAAAGAAAAAATACTGATAAATTTGGACTCCAATGAAGTAAATTTTGCTGTTCAAAAGACCTGGTTAAAGACAATGAAAAGACAGATGACAAGACGGAAAATCTTTGCAAATCACATATCTGAGGAAAGACGTATTGAGAACAAAGAAGTGTGTACACTCAGTAATTGAAGAAATGCCTAACTTAAAACAACTACAAAGTGCCCAGCCAGCTTGTCGCCAGAGCATGAGGCTCTTAAAACTGAACCAAAGACGTGAACACATACTTCACCAAAGAATATACAGATCTTACTCCGCTTACAGTGGAGTCATGTCTTGTTAAACTCAGCATAGGTTGAAAATGCCATAAGTTGACGGAGCAAACACCTAACCTACCAAACATCACAGCCTAGCCTGGCTCGTAACAGTGGGGCGGAATCCGCTAATGCAAAGCCTGTTGATGATAAAGCGAACACCTCGTGTAACGTACTGAGTGCTACACTCTCAGTGACAAACAGAATGGCTGTCTGGGTACAGGATGGTTGTTGACCTTGTGATCGTGGGCTGACCGGGGGCTGAGGCCGCCGCCCAGCAACACAGGAGGATGGCACCACACATACCGCTAGCCCAGGAAAAGATCCAAATTCAAAACTCCAAGTACAGTTTTTACAGAACGTGTACCACTCTCACACCATCACAAGACAAACCACTGTCAGGGACTGTCTGTATGCAAATGATAAGTCATGAAAAGATAACGTTAGTCCCTAGGGAGCACAGGTTAAAACACAGGGAACTCTGCTACTACACCAGTATTAAAATGGCGAAAACGGAATTAACAGGACCGACCACACTAAGGGTCGTGCGTGTGTGCAACAGCTGGAGCCCGGCACGGGCCGGTGGGGATGCAGAGTGGCACGGCCGCTTTCGAAGAGAATTCCTGAAGAAAGCTAGGCCTGCACTTGCCATACGGTCCAAGCGCTTCACTCGTGGCGCTGGCCCCGGCAACGCACGTGCGAGGAGTGACGCACAAGCGTTGACAACGGCGCTGTCAGTCATGGCCAACGCGGGACCAGCCCAGGGTCCGTTCCCATGCAAGTGGGTAGAGGAGTTGCGTGACGTTCTCCTGGCGCAGTGGTTCTCAGCAGTGAGAGGGGTGGCACAGGTGGGCCTCAGGACGGTTCGTCACACTGGAGAGATGTCAAAAAGTGCACGATCGAGGCTTCCGTGTACGAAGCATTCTAGGAACTGGAAGCGCTCTGTTGACAGCGGGGGACGTTTTATGAGCCCAGGAGTGTTTGTCGAATCGGGATAGTGTCGTGTGTACGTGTGACACGACTTGTCCATACTTGTCATGCCACTTTAGAGGCATACACCGCATGGGAAGGTAAATTGCTGTGTCCTTCTGGACAAAAATTTGGCAGCGTGTGTATAATTTCTAAGTGAAACTTTTACTTTTTAAATTTTTTTAGTGTTTGCATTTTGAGAGAGAGTAAGCGAGCGAACATGAGTGGGGGAGGGGCAGAGAGAGAGATGGAGACAGAATCCAAAGCAGGCTCCAGGCTGTTAGCTGTCAGCACAGAGCCCGGTGTGGGGCTTGAACCCACGTGCTGCGAGATCATGACCTGAGCTGAAGTCAGGCACTTAACTGACTCAGCCACCCAGGCGCCCCTCAGTGAAATTTTTAGTAACAATTTTCCTTGCAGGATTTGTCCTAGGAAAGTGATCCTGTGATGCAATCCTGTGATCAATGTGCCGAGTTGTGTGTTACAGCATTGTATGTAACAGGGGAAATTTGAAAACCAGTTCCCTCGGTCCAGGACAAACTCAGTTTATGTTTCAATTCACCCAGAACCGGTTCTTCTATAGGATTTGGAACACCACTGGTAGAGAAGCACCGCCAGCCGTTGGCGGTGCCTGAGAGGCGCGTGATGCTCAGAGTGAGTGCTAACCTGAGCTGTCCTTGGGAGGGCTTGTTTACATTGTAGAGAAAAGGGTTTTGCCTGAGGGGTTCCACGGGAGCAAGGGACCCCAGGACTTGCCTTCAGCCACTGCGGGATCTCCCTGGTAGGTGAGCAGGTGCAGCGGGGAGGATGCAGAAAAAAAATACACCTTAGATACATGTAACCCTTTGTTCTGGAGTCGCCATCACAGGATTTAGTCTGTTATATTTATTTTTGTACGGGGATTTAAAAAAACATACACCTTTTTGGCAGCTTTTTTATCAGATGCTGTGTATTTTTATTATGTTTTGAAACTATGTGACCTGTGATCCATGCAAAGACCTGTTAAGTAAATAAAACAACTAGAATGGGGGATCCAGGCAAAAAGAAAAAAAAAGAAATGAAAAAAGAAAAAAAAAGTAGAACGTCAGCAGTGCTTATGTTCACTCTTCAAAGCTGTGTAAACAAACGCAAGGGTTTTTTTAAGGCTGTTTTTCTGCATGATTGTTTCTAGAATTGGAAATCCACGAAGGACCAAAGTAAACACGCAGCAAAGGAGAGGCAAGCTGGTGCCCAGGACGCACTGGGGCTGGCAGCCTTTGCCAGAAAGCCAGGTAACCTGGGTGCGTATTGCGAGGGGCTGCCTACGGGCCGACCCCTGGCGCGGCCCGCTCCTGCAGAAGCGAGACGGGTCGGGAGGTGTGTGTGGTCTGACCACAAGCCAGAGCAACGAATGCTTGTCTCCACTGAAGACTGGGGACGTGAGGTTTCAGGTTAGGTCCTCGACCTGAGATGTGACGACGGGCTATTTTCGTTGACCTTTTCCAGAGTGCGTCTCCAACATGTTAGGTGATGCTGCACGTGTAAAGCAGAAAAATGAATTAAGTGGCCGGTGGTTTTGCCCTCGGCTAAGCTGATTTTCCCCACTCTGCCTGCCCGAGTTGAGGCTGTTAGAAAGAGCGCCTCAGCAGTGGGCTCTAAGGAGCCCCCCCCGCCTGACTGGCAGTGTCCCGGCTGTCATGGTGGCCCGTACTGACCCATGCTCCGGCTGTGCCTAACACCATTTCTCCACTCTGAATCCAGTAAACGAAGCCCAGATCCCCAAGGCGAGAGAAAAGGAATTTTTCAATCCCGTGCTCAATGAAAACCAGAAGTTAGCGGTTCGAAGAATTCTCAGTGGTGACTGCCGCCCGCTCCCGTACATTCTGTTTGGGCCTCCTGGAACCGGGAAGACAGTGACAATCATAGAGGCTGTTTTACAGGTAACCACAGGTGGTGACACGGCCACCAGTAAACTCGGCTCTACACTGGGCCTTCACGCCCTTGGGAAGTGCTAGCTCCTGCAGAGTCAGAAAGCGGGGACAGGCTCAAAAACCCGTTACTTCGCGTTTAGCTGAGTCTGTTCTGTATTGTTTATGGGAGCATGTAGGGTTTTCAAAGCTTATTTCATCGGTTTAGAAAGGACTCTGTTGCCCGCATATGTGAAATTTAAGGTACAAAAACAGATGAACAGAAGGGAAGGGAAGCGAATATAATATAAAAACAGGGAGAGACTCTTAAATACAGAGAAAAAACGGGGTTGCTGGAGGGGTTGTGGGAGGGGGGATGGGCCAAATGGGCTAGGGGCATTAAGAAGAAAACTTGTTGGGATGAGCACTGGGTGTTATACGTAGGGGATGAGCCTCTGGAGTCTGCTCCTGAAATCATTATTGCACTATATGCTAACTAACTTGAATGTAAACAAATAGGTAAGTAAGCAAACAAATGAAACAAAATTTAAAAAATAAAGTGTAGCCTATCATGCCAGGCACTTAAAGATGGAAATTGTTCAGGTGGAAATAATGAATAAATAAACATATACGTATATGGAATGTAGAAAGGACTCTATTCTTAGAACGGTCAGTCGCTCTGGGGTGCCCAGCTGGCTCGGTCAGGGGAGCATACGACTCTTGGTGTTGGAGGTTGTGGGATGTCTGAGCCCCATGGTGGGGGTAGAGATTACTTTAAAAAAAAGAATCATCATTGACTCATCACATCATGAAATTTTCCTGCAGAAAATACGTTCCTGTTACAGTAGCTCAGCCACCATTCTGCAGAAGTTTCTGGTATTTCCATTATTTAAAAGTTGAATTGGTGGAGATCGCGTGTAGTATTTTTGTGTCATTCGGGATTCAGATTAGCAGGTGTGTGCTGAGTGTGCAGCTGGCACCGTACCGCGAGCCGTGCACACGAGAATAATCTGACGCTGTGTCTGCCTTGGGAGGGTAGCCTGGGGTCTGGGAGGACAGAGAACTCCCTCGCCTGCCCTCGTGTCTTGCTGGCATGTGCACCCGATGGGAAGAATCATCCCTGCGTGAGTCTGAGCCCACACGTGAGCCCACACGGCCAAACCCGCGTAGTGAGCTCGCGCACGTTGGCGTCAGCCTCCCTACCCGTGTCCGTACTTGGCAGGTTGACATTTACCACCTCTGTTTCTCCTGTGTCCTGGTTGAAGGTGCACCGCGCTCTGCCGGACAGTCGCATATTGGTGTGTGCGCCCTCCAACAGTGCAGCCGACCTCGTGTGTCTGCGACTGCATGAGAGCCAGGTGCTGCGGCCGGGTGCCATGGTGCGGGTGAATGCCACCTGCAGGTTCGAGGAGGTGAGCTGTCCCCGCCTGCTGCCATGGAGGCCCTCCCACCCGCACCCAACTCGAAGTCCTTTCTCCTGCTGCTTCTGCGAGATGAGCATTTGCAGCTTATTAAATAGCAGCACTTCTGCTGTCCCTTTGGGAAAATTAGAAATTCCTGGTTTGCTTAACAAAAGAAACTGAATCTAGAAAACGTATGCACTTGTTTTGGGGAAGGATCTCCAGGATGTTGTGTTATATTCATGGCTCCAGAGTCTGTAGAACATGGACTAAATTGGTATGAAAATATAAAATATTTTGATTTAAGAAAACAATCTTCAGTCATTTACTTAGTTTTAATTAAGAAGTGGGACTAGGACGACATCATCTTTTAGAATTGTTTTCAGCTCTGTGACTATGTCCAATTGAAAGAAACACTTAACTCTCTGGAAAGTAAACTGACCCCCCCTCCTCCCTCCAGATGATCGTTGATGCTATCAAAGCGTATTGCAAAGATGGAGAAGACATCTGGAAGGCCTCGCGCTTCAGGATAATAATCACAACGTGCAGCAGTGCGGGGCTCTTTTACCAAATAGGAGTGAGGTAGGCACTAGGCACGGCCGGGGTCTCTGGCCTCCCAGAGCTTCTGTCTGAGGGGAGGCTGGCCTGCTGGGCGGGGGCGCAGAGAAGCCACACTCGTGCCGAGACCCCAGCGGCGAGAGGGGCCCAAGGCTGTCCCGAGGGGGGAAAGGATAAGGAAGGAGCCTGTGGCAGCTGGGGCTGCAGGAGGCTTGCAAGTAAAAAGGAACAGTACCAACTGATGAAAGTAACTTTCAGTAGGGGCCCCTGGGTGGCTCAGTCGGTTAAGCGTCCGACTCTTGATTTCGGCTCACGTCATGATCTCACTGTCCGTGAGTTCGAGCCCCACTTCGGGCTCTGGGACTCTGTACTGACAGCTCGGAGCCC